CTGGGCGCGCCCGCTCTCCGGAGGAGACGGAGGTGGCATCCCCGCCACCCCTCTGGAGCCGGCCCGGCGGGGAAAGGGCACGCAAGGCTTCAGGAGTGACCCAGAACGGGCTTTCTGGATGGTTATCAAATACCAGACCTGGGGAGTTCTGTGGCCCCACCTGAACACTGAATCCAAAGAAGAGCGTTATCTCCTGAAGTACCTTGGCAGCTTTTGCCTTTCCTGGGAGTTTCTATCGATTTAATTTTCTTCCCTTTCGCAGGTGGGAGAAGAGCTGAGCAGTCTTGATGTACAACCACTTACGTCTGTGACAAACCACCAGCGCCCACTTTGGCCACCGAGTCCGTGGGCAAACAGAGGGATCCCCCTCCAGAGTCAAACTCTGCCAGCGTCCTAAAACAAGGGCAGTGCCTGGTGATGCATACCCTGAGATGACTCCCTGTGGCTTAACAGGCTCCAAGTTGCTATAAGAAATAATTCTCTTTATTGCCCAATCAATAGTTTCAACGTGGAAGTCTAAGGTCTTGGTTTTGACGTAATTGAGTGTAATACAGTTACAAAATGTAAGGCTTAATAAAACATTACATGTTGCCCAGCAAAGTTCCTGGGACAGTCTGCAGACCTTCAGCACGCACAAGGATTTCTCTAACGAGGCAAAATTGCAAATTTAACACACCTCCATGGAGGAGCACAGGGACTGCTAAAAAACCAGAGCAATAATTTTAAATGGTATTTGAAACAGTTAAATCAAAATTTTAGAGCAGATTCTGAAAGTCTGGGAGCAAACTGTGATCTTCTTGTGCAACATAAGCATGTCCATAGGATAAAACCACATATATGGACAGATGCATGCCTGCAGTCTGCTTCAAATTCCTATTTTTGCTCTGTGTCTTCTCAGATCTGACAACTCTGTGTGTTCACATCCCTGTTTCTGCAAAAATGTGTCAATTTTTTGAGCTTGCTGCAATCCCGCAAGTGTCTCAGTTGGCAGATCTGCTGAGAAGGGAAGTGGTAATATCCACAAAGCCCTGCTGAAGCAGCAGAGAAGGTGGGAGAGGGTGAGTTGCCAAAGACCACCTCTTCCTCTGGCACAGCTCTTGCTGACCTGCTGCTCACGGCTTCAGCATTACTGTGGTGCAGTACCCAGAGCAAGAATTCTGAGAAACAGAGTACAGCTAACACTTCTGTAGATGGGTCTCTGTACCAGCCAAGTCCTTTAGCTGACCATGGACATCAAAGTCTACTTAATAAATGAATAAAATATTTAATCTGATGTACACATTTGTTGACAGCTGGCTGAACATGAACCAGCAGCGTGCCTAGGTGGGTAAGATAACCAGTGGTATCCTGCCCTCTATCAGGAATGGTGTGGCCAGCAAATTTTGTCCCCCTGACAGTTGGCACTGATGAGGCTACACTGTGAATCCTGTGTTCATTTCTGGGCACATCACTATAAGAAAGACACTGAGGTGCTGGAGCAAGTCCAGAGAAGGGGAATGGAGTTGTGAGGGGTCTGGAGCACAAGTCCTATGAGGAGTGGCTAAGGGAGCTGGGGGTATTTTGCCTGGAGAAAAGGAGGCTGAGGATAAACCTCATACCTCTCTACAACTGCATTAATAAACCCCCCCATCTTTACCTCTGTGTTAGCCATGAACAATTTAATTACCATAATTTGTGGGTCTCCTTGGCTTTTGTGATAAATTCTTTAATCTTGTTGAGGATTTTTTTTTCTTATGTGCATATACATTGAGTTCCTCACGCAGTATTTAATTGTATTATCGTAAATACTGAAGATGATGACAACAAGTTCCACCACAATTAAAAAGCCTGTTCACTGTGCAGCTAGTTCAGGTGCAGACATGAAGGATGATCTATCTCTTTTATTATTATTTAGGAAAATTGCCTGTGGCGTTTTTAAATCCTGTTACCATTGCTCAGCTTCCCTGTTCTGTATTACTCTGCCAGCAGTTGCTGCTACACGAAAGCGCCCAAACATGAGTTCTGTTCAATACAGAAGCTACAGACAGATTTATTACCTGTCCTGGCATGTAGGACACAAAAATGACCAAAGTAGATTTGTGAATGTGGGAACTCTATCTATCCCTCTACATGGTGATTTAGTGCAGACCTGCAGGAACAATACAGGAAGAAACAATGCAGGAAGAAATTAAATACAACTGAGAAAAAAAAATATCTCTAGACTGAAGTTCAAAATTATTAGATTTCTGTATTTGCTGTATAGAGATTAATTGTATACATGTTCCCTTATAAATGCCCAGATGGTGCCACCTTAACTCCTTCTATACTACAAAGAGTGAATAACATGCAAACTAGATTTATTAAAACTTTTTTATCTACAGTGCATTTTCCACCACTCTTATTGGTGGCAATGGCATATACTGATGATTTTTGTTTAAGCAGAATTAATATCAGTTGAATCACCTTTGCATGTGTAAACATTTTAGCATAACTTTTCTGCACAAAGAACCAAGATTTCCTATGTTGTTTTAACTTGAAATAAAATTCTGCTAAACAGAAGTACTGACTGTACAGAGCTTCTGGAACTCCTGTAGGGTCACTACAATTTTTCTTTATCCCAATTATACCATTGAATGAAGATCTAATATTTTCCAGAGAGTTTTCTGATAAGCCAGTCTCTCTGTTCCTTGCAGGTTTCAGGCTGGGAGTTGAAGAGACATCTCGGGGGAGAGACACCCACTGAACCTGGAAGGCACAAGGAAAGTCTTACTGTAGGTTCATCTCAGGGCACAGAAAAAACTGCCAGGCATGGCCAGACACAGTGTGGACATTTCAGAAGTGCTAGTCCCTGTGCGGAGGATCCATGCAAAAACTAGGTTCTGGACCTGGAAAATGATGGTGAAAGGTGAGTGAGCACACTGTGTGGTGCTGTGCTCTGTGCCTGAGAGCACTTGCAGTGTTTTGTAATTTCAGCCTCACCTGCACATGAGAACCCAGTAAACCAATACACATGTTAAATTGTTTCTATATCACTCTCCATCATTCACCCTAAAGTAAAAATACAGTACCACCTACTGGTGGAGACACTGTTGGCACTGATGGTTTTCTAGTTATCAAGCCTCATTGGGGCAAATTGAGCTTCATGACACTGAATTCTACACAAGAGCATAAATAAGCCAGAAGCCCTGGAGTCTTCTCAGCTACAGCACTTCCAACATGACATTAATTGCTGAAATCACATCAGCACTAGAAAAAACAAAAGAGTATTTGCAGAAAATAAGCCTGCCGAAACCATGGTCCCAATCCAAATGCTCTGTTTACAGAGCTTCAACACAGTAAGTTGAAAGGCAATGTTGTGCTATTAAAACCTGATTATTTATAAGTCATATGTCTAATGTATCTAGTGTTTTGGCTATGGGTATCTGAAACTAGA